TGCAGTACATTCACAGTATGTTACTGTGGCATTTTTACAGTAGATGATAGTGAAATGATAGCTGTATACTAGCAGTATGCTGTTGTGAACTACTGTTTAGAAGTGTAGATTCAAAGAAACAAAGTCAATTTTCACACTTTTACAGTATAAATTGTAATTCACAGTAAATGATAAAAAAAATAATTGCAAGATACTGTTATTTTTTATTTTTCACCATTTCTATCTGCTGTAACCTGAAATCACAGAACAAAAATCTGTCTAATAAAGAAATCCTTTTTTTTTTTGATTTAACGGAAAGCTGTAACGTTTTTTCAGGAAACTGATAAGTTGTACTTGTAGTAAGTCTCAAAATATCTTTTCAGTATGTGTGTGTTTACATAAAGGCCCACCACTTCCTGAAAGGGATGCGTGGCATAAGAAGGGTCATCTGGATGGTCAACTGCTCTATGGGTGCCACCCATGACATAGCAACAGAGCTTAGTCAATTCCCCTGGGTGTGGTTGGCACGCAGTGAGTGATAAGTGAAAGTGTCATGCCTGCGTGCGTGTGTGTGCGTGTGTGTGTGTGTGCGTGTGCGTGTGCGTGTGAGGCCACGGGTAAATAAACCTCCACTATGTTCACTCTCGTTTCCTTTTATCTCCATCTAGGACATGGAAACACCTCCCTTTTCCTCATCGGCTGGTGACAGCATCACACACTCTGTAGTCCTTGGCCAGTACCTTAATGTTGTTGCAAACTGCCGTGTAACTGACAGTGAAACTTTAGGTTAAAGGTTAGGAAAACACTGTCCAACAGGGTCTGTGCTGTTGTTTATGTGGAGGGTCAGGTAGATTCACGCAGACAGGAGTATTAGCAGTAGAAAACTTTCATCAGGTACAAAAGCTGCTCCCTAAGCTGAAACAATCTCAGTGTTTGAGTTGAATCTCAGTGAGCCAAAGAGGCAGTTTGTAAACTAACATTCATTTAAGCCAGATAATAGCATGCTACTACTATTTAGCTTAAAGCTTTTATATAGCTGCTTACTGTGTATACTTAGTGTGGGAGTTGGGAAAGTTGGATTCAGATAAAATATATTTAAGTTCTGTGGTCTGCCCTGTAACCTGAATAGTACAATGTGTGCCACTGAATCAACCAGAAGGCAAAGCTTAGAGATGGGGCAGAATACAAACGTTTATTTATTTAAGTTAGATAGACATTATATCAAAATGTTACAGCATTGGTAATGTGTCCCACATTGTCCCACACAAAGATACTATTTGGCCTACATTTGGTTTGTTGGGATCTAGTCAACCTCAGGATGGATAGAAAGTGTTATGGCATATTTAAAGCTACAAAAACTTAAATATTACAAGAGGTTCAACCAAGACAAAAGCTGCATTCCCTAATTTAGAAAAAGCAGATTTTTGGGTCAGTGGTTATGGTAAGTCTCCACGAAATTTATGTAAGTATATGTTATGTACCCAAAAGTGAAAAGCAGTGTCCATGGGCACTGATCACAGCAAAAATTGTGTTAAAAAAGTGTTGAAATTTCAGGATTAAACATTTCCGAGTTGATTTTCACTCCCTAAGTGTAATCTTTTAATACTTTCTGATTTAAATGTTGTTAAGTGTTAATTATTTAGTTATTTGACAGAGTTGATAACATTAGTGTTAGACAACCCTCTCTGGTGTTAGCCCAACTCTGCATAGATGTAATTCAACTCTGCCCACAGAAGAAACGCATTTCACTTTTTCAGTTGGAGACAAGTTATCACCATTTCCCTCCACTCCTGCAGCTCTACATGATAAGTGCAATTAAGTTAAACTTCCTGAAACAATTGATGCTGTGAACTGCACTATGTAAGATAAAACACCTACAGAGAATATGTTACTTACAAAGCCTTGTTTGTTGTCAGGACTGAACAGCATTTTTTCCAGGTGAGTGGCTAACATTTAGCTAGCCATCTGTGGCAGCTAGCTTACCGTTAGTCACTAACTTAAACCATTCCAACGATTGTCTAATGATTGTTTAACAACAATTTACATGCAAGCTCAAAGCAATGAAAAATAAAATATTAAAAGATTTTTACTGTATAAAATCCTGTTTGAGGTTAGAGCTAGTTGCTAGCCCGTTTTTGCCTTAACCACAGTTTAACATACAGGGGCCACAAGGCCGCAGGGGTCACAGTGAGAGACCTTTAGAAACTTGTTAATGACCCAGGTAGAAATGGTTGATTCCTCTTCCACCTTCCCAAGATTCCTGGATACAAAAGGATTGGTACATTTGGAATGAAATGTTTAGAATTACCTGAAATTTGAAAGTATTTGTTATTAATATTTACATTTTTCCAGTGTAGATTTTACACTTAATGGGAGTAAAATTAACTCCACCCAAATAGTAAAAAAATGAACTCAGAGCAGTGTTATGTTGTATCACTCAGTGTTAATGTAACCCTCTTTTGCGAGTTAACGAAGGAACTCTGGCAAAGTGTTAAATGTTTAACTAGAACTAGAGAGTGTGAAAAATGTTGAATTAAACTCTGGGAGTTATTTCAACACTGTAGTTTTTGCTATGATGAATGTGTCAACTTTTAAATGTGAAGGTGATTGTATATTACTTACAAATACATTCTGTAGTGTTCAACTGCCGTCGGCCTGCCTTCTTGTTGCTGCACTTTAAGGATAAAGAAGTTGTCCTTAACATTTGGCCGTCAGTTGGGCGTGTATATAATATTTTTCAGGCAGCTGGAAACTAGCAATGCCTTCGCGGGTCAGTCAAGGTGAAACTGCTTTAACGGTTTAAACAGAAGTATGGAGCAATGTCACAAATATCCAACTGAAAGCAAGGCTGTTCTAAGGAACCCCATCAAAGTAACTACATCACATTGTTTTACTGTGTAAACACAGAAAATGTGATGACTGGAAAGAGCAGGCCTTTATTTAAGAGAAACAAAACAGTCTTCAGGCGCGTCTTGACTTGAACGCTCTCCTGGGTAAAATCAGTATCAACGATAGATATCCGAGAAAATATTTACGAAGACCGAACAGTGAAGTTTCTGTCGCCAAGCTAAATTCTTGTTAAGATTACAAAGACGTGTGTGTCACTGTATTGGATTGATTCCATGCCACCCACTGCTAGGCGTCATGGCAAAGGCCAGAATCTTAAAATTGAATGTTCACTCCTCAAATAAAAACACAGAACTGATTATTTTGTTTCTACAGCGTGAACAAAGGATTCCTTTCCCTGTACGCCTGGGTCACATCCCCTCCACCCAATTCCAACCAACCCCACCTCTTTCATGAGGGGAAATAAGGAGGCACTGAAATAGCATGGAGCCTACTACCTCTGTGAATTGTATAGTTCTTCACTGTGTCATAAATGTCTGTAATTAGACTGATATGTCAGGTTTCATGTCTCTGAATACAAATTTGGTTACAGCTGATACTCATTTACATTTCCTTACTCTTAAACACGGTGGTTCATTGGTCATGGTCACTTTGGGAGGGAATCAGATTCGATCACATTCTTTTAGATCTACTCAACCAAAACTCCACCTGGAAACTAAGCAACTCAAGAAATGAGAATGTATGTTTACGTAATGTAGTTCTTGTCACGTTTTGTTTCTGGACCCGCCCTCTTGTTCTTACTGTACTTCCTCTTTGAAGTCCAGTCACCTTCCCTCCCAAGGAAAGTGTAAGGCAGCTCTCTTCCTCCTCTAACAGCCCTACTAATTTGAAAGAAGATTATAAATAGTTTAAGAATGATGATTGATTTAGATTGACCATAAGTTAGACAATTGTGTGTCTACCTTTGTAGTTATTATGGTATCCTAAGGAAGTTTGTCTGCCTTCCGAATCCATGAGTCAGTGTCTCTCCTGGAAGGAGGGCTTTTCTGAGTTAATATTTCTATTATTTAAGTCCAGGCAAAATGGAATTATTTAAAAATTATTTAACAATGAATGCCACTTTTTAAATTTTTACAAAAACTACATTTCTTTGTATTTTATGTTGAAATCCAGTAATTTTTTTATCCTGTGAAACAAAATGTGACACGTGCTTACATAAGCAAAAACTAACCAATTGCAACCAATTGTATCATGACATTCATCAATCAGCAGATATTCATTAGTTAGCAGGGGACAGCATGGCTAACTACCAGCTACCAGAGTGTTTCTGATTTGGGTGAAACTGGATCGTATTTTATGGAGAAAATATTGTCTTGTTTACCCTCTGATGTCCTCCAGCTGCTCTCCCTCAACTCCGCTATCTCCCATTATCATTCATCATCATCTTATGTGCATGAACATGTGGTACACTTCAGGGTCATTCATGTTTTTTCTGCAAAAAGAAAATTATAATTTCCACATTAAAATCCTTAGAGGATTAGGACTTAGTCATCTCCTCCATCAACCTCATTAAAACTTACAGAATCTCTGAATATGCAGATGTTGTTCATTTCTAAAGTTTTCCTGCTGCACACAAGATGTGTAGTGTCAAACTCATCATTAAAACATCACACTGTTAAACCACTGATTTCTGACTGGGGGTAGCTTAAAGTACGGTATTCTTTTGGTACATTTGTGTGAAAAAATGTCATTTTTCATTATCTTGTCACTAAATTTTAATGAGATGTTGAATTTAATCATTTTTATTATTGGACCACTCAAAACCACCTTCCTGTTCGAATAACAACTAATTTAATTTTCTCCTTCCGCTGCCTTCAACTATGACGTCAAGATATGTAGTAATACTAAAGTTAAACTGACTCACCTTTGAGGTTTATCTAGGGCAGGGCTTGCTTAATAATTAATTTTTTTTTACAACATTTTTTTTTTAATTTTTTTTTACAGATTATTAATTGTATCTTAATGCCATGCTACAAAGCCATATTGAATAATATGTATGTGTATCAGTTTTTTGGATTTTTGGCAGAGGTCTTCCCAGACTTTAAATGGAATATCAATCCGAAGAGTCTTACAGAAGAGGATAATAAGAGTTCACCTCCCTCTTATTAAAAGTTCATGTAACTGCGTGCGCATGTATGTGTGCGTTCTGAGTAGTGTGTGTGGGTTTTGATGGGCCAGTTTTCTTTGAGATAAGAATTTTGGCAAGCGTGGGGGTTGAGCAAGCGCTGGCCAGGACGAACTTCCTTCCTCGCCTGGTCCGAAAGAAAATATATAAACGGGGACTATGATCAGCTTCCAGACGTATCAGCTTCAGGTCGTCGAGCGCAGAGGTTTTTATCACAAGCTTTTCTAACGTCGACATTATGATTCCTACAACAAACGCGCTGCTTATTTGTGTGCTTTTCCTCTGCGGGCTGGAGGAAACGGTCCTCTCCCAGCACGGACATTGCACCGGGAAACAATGTTTTGCGCTTTTCCAGGAGTCCAAGGACTTCCCAGGCGCACAGAAAAAATGCAAGGAGTTTGGACAGTTATTCGAGTTCAGTTTAGAACACCTAGTGAAGATATTTAAGAGTCTACCCAGCGGGCTCAGCGGTAGTTACTGGCTGGATCTGCATGGCACTGGCAGCACAACAGGTCTCCAAAACTGCTCATCCATCTCCGCGTCGACGGAACGGAACTTCACGGTGTTGTCGGAGCCGTGCAGTGAAAACCTGAGCGGATTCCTGTGCCAGTATACAATCCCAGGGACGACTTGCAGCGGGCTGCAGGCAGGCGGCGGCGTACAGGTGAAGTACTTCTCGCACATGAGCTTCGAGGTGAAAGACTCCGAAACGTTTCCAGAAGGAACCACCGCTGTAGCGGAAGAGCCTGGCGCCAAATATCCGCACTCGAAGCATTTGTGTTACTCGAAGCAGTGGGTGCCAGCTCCCTGGATATGTGAGGTGATGCGGGGCGGCTGTGAGCACAACTGCAATTCCACAACAAACACCTGCCTTTGCCCCACCGGGCAAACTCTCCGTCCCAACAAAATCAGCTGCACCGAGGATCCGTGCGCCGAGTGCGCGCAGGGGTGCCAGCAGGAGGGCTGCAAGTGCTGGGAAGGCTACAGGCTGGCGCAGGACGGGAGGAGCTGTGTGGACGTGAATGAGTGTGAGGAGGAGAACCCGTGCACAGGTGAGCGGACACAGTGTGAGAACACCAAGGGAGGGTTCGAGTGCAGGTGCAAAGAGGACTTTGTTGAAGAGGATGGAGTGTGTGTGGATGTTTCAATCTGTGATAACTGTGAGCACATGCTGTGTGATAAAGTTAATGGGGTGTATGGGTGTGTGTGCCGGAAGGGGTACAAGGTGTCAGCCAGAGATCCCACCAAGTGTGAGAGGAACTGCACAGAGAGAGACTGTCCGGCAAAGTGCATCCAAAACTCTGACATTGTCCAGAAGGACTTGCTTCAGTGTTTCTGCCCTGATGGGTACATTCTAGATGTGACCAACACCACCACCATTTGCACCGACATCAATGAATGTGAGATTGAGAAGCCATGTGATCACAAGTGTGAAAATCTACACGGTGGTTTCACATGTCTGTGCGACAAGGGCTTCAAGCTGCACAAAGGGTACAAGTGTGTGTCCACTGATGAGGAGGATGAGGAGGAGGAGGAAGGATCAGGCTCCACTCCTCCACACCCCACGCTGGCCGGTGCTCACCCAGCCGCAGTGCCCTCTTATGTCAAGACCGGCAGCGTCCTGGGTATCACTTTGTTTCTGGTGCTGTGCATGGCCCTGCTGTTTTTCCTGCTCCAGAACGTGGTCAAACGTTGTGGCAAATTTCAGCTTCATTCCTTCAAACATCCAAATATCGACATTTTCTACCTGCAGCAGGTGACCACAGAGACGTATAAGAGGTTGTCCTTCGACAAGCCGTTTAAAAACGACCCGCAAATACTTTAATAGCACCTGTGAGGAAGTGTGCTGCTTTTTGGACCTTCTCCTCATGTCACATTGCACTGTTTTTCCTCGGAGACGTCAAATGTACAATATAAAACGTTAATTGGAAACTTAAAGCAGCAACCAATCACATACTGTAGGGTCATAGTCCACATCACATTTGAAAATGCACATAAAATAGGGTTCCAACTGAGGATTATTTCATTTTCGATTAATCTGTCGACCTTTTCCCAAAGAACTGATCACTTGTTTGGTCCATAAAATGGTTAAAATGTTGATCACAGTTTCTCAAAGCCCGAGGTGATGACCTCTTGTTTTGTCCACAACCCAAAGATATTCACTTTACTGTCACAGAGGACTCAAGAAACCAGAAAATATTCACATTTGAGAAGCTGAAATCAAAGAATTTATCAAAATAGTTTGCGATTAATTTAATAGTTGACAAATAATCAATTAAGTGACTAATTAATTGCAGGTCTAACACAAAACAGAGATATGGGACTTTAAAGGAAGACAGCGTAATACATTATGAATGTAGAATAGATATATGTATGGAACTGTGCTTTATTTGCCTTATAGTTATACCCTGTAACAGAACATTTAGGTTTTTTTTATTAGGCAGATATTTGGAGTTTTATATACCATAAATAATAGTATAATGGTACTTGTGCAGTCTCAAATCCAGCAAATAAACCTTTTATTTACGTAAGGATGGGATATAAGACAAGACTCTCTCATGACAGAACCAGTTTTATGTTCGATTTCACTTTGTTGCTGTCTAATTACACTGTAATCACACCGCACTGTAATTAAGCTCTTTAATGTAAAAAGGTTTTTAAAAAAATGTGCCTGAGCCCTTGCTCTGCGTTTTCAGTTATACTGCAAGTAATGTAACATTCCACATATTGGTTATAGTACACACTGTATTTGTGAACTACCTACTGTAAGTTAAACTATATGTTTTTTATCTTTTGGTAAAATAACACTTTAAGCTTTTTATATAGATGTTCTCTTTAGTCAGATGCACATTAATGATCACAGTGACTCACTGTGACTGATTGTTTTGCATTTGGGTTTATGACGTTTGAGACAGACACAGAATATGTAGTTTTGAATCAGACCACTGTTGGTTTTGGGATTTGTTAGTTGCTATGGGAACTGTTTGTGATGCATACTGAATGATGTCATAGTCTGCTTTTACGGACCATTTACACATGCAGAGACCTGATGGTATATATTACAAACTGACAAACACAGACTGTCCAATGTTTAGTTTTGGATGCATACTTTAGAGAAATAAAGCCCACATTCTGTTCCATCTAAACAATACATCTTGTCACCACATGGCTTGATTTGGACACAAATCATTCTAAGACATTATACTATACTGCATATAGTGCCTAACAAAACAGAAACTGTTCAATTGGTTTATGTGCATCTGGACATAAAAAATGTAAGCGGCTTTACTACGATCCACTAAACATGAATGTAAAACTGTGCTGCTATGGTCTCCGTAGATGTAAACACATTTTGCACCTCCTTCATCACCACTTGTCTGTATAACTGATGTCTGATTTCGTGTTGGTGAATATGTCAGTATTGAGTAATAAATTAAAAAGACTAAAAGCTGGAGGTTTCGTTCTGTTTTTTGTTTTCTATTTCTGAGATCTAATTGGTTGTTTTCGTTCAGGCCCGGTAGATTCTTGCAACAAAATGACTTTTCTGAACACTTGCACTGGCTAATGAAGCAATAACCTTCCCTTACATTGTTCCGATTTCCTCCTCTCTCCTGCCACATACTGTACATTACTCTCATAGAGTACGCTGCAGTCTCTATAGGACACAGTGATAGGAAATATTCATCTTTACCATTAGCTACACTTTATCTTATTTTTCTATTTCTGTATTTCATTGCTGACCTTCTGTCTCAAGTGAGAATCAACATATTTTAAGCTTTTCATTGCCTTAACCTCTTTCTTTTTCTCTTGTTCTGATGTGATGTTATGACGTTCATGTTCTGTCTAAAACAAGCTGTCAGAATTTGAACCTGCCTTCAAGTAAAACTGGACTTAGAGTCTGACCACGAGACTAAAGGACTCACTTGGACTGGCAGTCTGTGTAGAGTGTTGTTGGGAGGAGCTACTGCAAATAGGGGGCGTTGGGTATATGCCCCCCGTGCGTGCGCGCGGCTTCGGTGCGTACGCGCGTAAAAGCTGTGCGTAAAGCCTTGTTGGGGATGTGGTCCGCCGTGCTGAGGAGTTTGTGGAGGGACAGAGAGAGGCTCAGCGGGCTGATTACGAGCGACTTCCTTCCTTCGTCGGGGCACTAACATGGAGTTGGGGGGTTATAAATACGAGCAAAACATTTTCTCAAACAAACTATATAGACTATAGACTGCTGGAGCGCGCGAGAAAATAAAGGGACACAACGAGGTTCAAACATGAAGGCTGTTACGGGTCTGTTAGTCGTCTTGCTGACCTTCCTGGTTGGAAGTTCCAGCGGGATAAAGCCGGATAACGGTTACTGCATCGGGAACCAGTGTTTCACTGTCTTCCAAGATCCCAGCAATTACAAGACCGCCAAGAGTCAATGCGAAGCTTTAGGCGGCCACTTAATGACGGTGCGCTCAACAGTATCTAATAATATTCTGTTGATCTTGTTGGAGAACTTAACGGGGCGGTTCTGGATCGGTTTACATCGAACGACCGGCTGTCCAGACGCTGCTGCTGGGCTGAAAGGCTTCCAGTGGGTAACCAAAGACAACGAGACCGACTTCAACAACTGGGCTCCAACTTTTGACAACAGCTGTTCTTCTCATCGCTGCGTCTCAGTTTCTAAAGAGGAACACTTTAACTGGATCCAGGAACCATGCGACGAACATGCGGCCGGTTTTCTCTGTGAGTACACCTTCAGTGAGCCGTGCCAAATTCTAGTTGTCGGACAGGACGAGTCCGTCAACTACACGACCCCCTTGGGGTTTGGAGGCGAGGATCTGCTGTCTTTGCCCCCGGGGAGCACCGCTATCCGGATGCCAGCTGAAACTAATTACGTCTGCTTCTCCGAAAAGTGGCATCAGGCGCCCTGGAGCTGCGAGATACACGAAGGTGGGTGTGAGTATAAATGCGCAGTAGACCCCCAAAATGTGCCCACCTGCTACTGCCCGCCGGGAACAACCGTCAGTCTTGCAAATAAAGTCACCTGCGAAGTGGACGCAGAAGACCCGTGCCTGCCGCTGCGCTGTGCGCACGCCTGCTACAAGGACGGAGACTCCTACACGTGCACGTGTGACCACGGCTTTAAGCTGGCGCAGGACGGCAGGTCGTGTGTGGACTTTAACGACTGCACGGACGAGCGGCAGTGTCCCGGGGAGAACTTCAAGTGCGTAAACACGGTCGGCGGGTTCCAGTGCGTCTGCGAGGATGGATACAGTGTGGAGGGCGGCCTGTGCGTCGACGTGGACGAGTGCGCGTCCGCTCCATGTGAGCAAATCTGCGACAACACTCCCGGCAACTACAGCTGCTCTTGTTATGATGGATATAAAGAGGACCCAAAGTCACCAAACAAGTGTAAACTGTACTGCGGGAAGGCTGAATGCACCCCGGAGTGCGACCCGAATGACCAGTCACAGTGCAACTGCCCTGATGGATATTTACTCGACGGAAGGGAGAACGAAAGTGTTTGCATTGACATAGACGAGTGCTATTTCTCTTATTGTGATCATAGTTGTAATAACACATTGGGTAGCTATGTGTGCTCGTGCAATCCAGGATACACACTAGTTGAGCAATACAAGTGCGTAAAGAACGAGGGTTACACGGAGATAGATGGAGGGATGGAGGGCTCCGGGGCGGCCACGATTCCAAACATCATCACATCCTCACCTGTGCCACAGCCAGACCCAAAACCAACGAGGCAGCCGTCAGGGGTGACAGTGGGGGGTCTCGTGGGGATAATAGTGTGCACTGTCTTTTTTGTCGTGTTGGTGGTTTTTCTGGCCCATCACATCCTCACTGGCAGATGGAAGATGAAGAGCGCCGTTACGCTCAAAGCTGCGGAGGATGAAGCGCATGGTTTAGAAGTGACGAGTGACACTTAAAGAATGCAGCCGGAGAGAGACTGCTGAAGCACGACATGTGAATGTACAGGTCAATTCTCCAAAACAGGTCTGCAGAGATATTTGGACAGGTTGTGAAGGATGTAGAGTCCACTGCAAAACAATAGGGACAGAGATGTGGTCATGCCATAGGAGATAAAGTCAAAATAAACACAACAGAAATAAATACAAATATTAAAGTTGCCTTTATGGACAGACAGTCACTTCCTTGGAAGACTGATTTCATCTACTATTCAACTCACATACAGCATATGCAATGTAATGAAAATGACAAAGAACTTTTTTTTAGTTTGTGCTCGAACATTAATAAATTATAAAAATGTGAATGAAGGATATGTCTGTTGTTTTCTTTGGATAGCTCTCTCAGCCATGTTTGCCTCAGACACAGACTGACCGCCCCACCATGTGGAACAACAAGTGCATTACAGGTCATCCATGCAGAGACACAGCCTGCTTCATAGCTTCACATTAAGGATCGGCAGCAGTAATATTAGAAGCAGTAGTGGTGGTATCAGTAGTAACAGCAGTAGTAGTAGTAGACTAGTGTTAGTAGGCCTAGAAGTATCAGCAGCAGTAATATAAGAAGCAGGGGTATCAGTGGTAATAGTAACAGCAGTATAACAGTACTGACAGTAATACTCGCAGTAGTAGTAGTAGTAGTAGTAGCTATTAGTGGTTAAGAGTTAAAAGCTGGCAGATGAAGACGAAGCAGCCCATAATATGAAGATTCACTGCAACAACTGGAGCGACATTATGAGGAAAGGTCTTTCAAACAGGATGCTATTTAGTCATTTGGGAAATGTCGACATTCCCCTGTGTTAGACAGACAGATAGGAGCAGGTCTTTATTGGCAGTAGTTGTGCGGTGGTGGAGCAGATCTGTCCTGTTTCTCCCAGTTTGGACAAGGTCTACACACAGGTAAGATTGTTTGTGGCCAGAAACATGAATGAGTCGCTTACTTTAGCTTGAAACTCGTCTGTACTGTGTCCGACTTCACTCATCCGGACAAACGCTGTTAAAAACAGACTGCGTTGCGCAACGAACCTCTAAATCTGTCTGTTCAGTAAAAACTGAAGGAACTAGAGTTTAGTACAGCTCGATCATAATGCATGGTAACTGATAGTGAATACGTGTAAATATCAAGGTGAACGGCTTATATAACACTGTACACTGGTGAAATGAGTGAGGGGGCAGGGCAGTTCATGATGAATGTTAGAAACTTGGATGGTGAACACTTGTTTATTCTAATGCTGAAACACCTCAGGCACAAACGCTGTTATATAAAACATTAAAACTGCCATATACAATGTCACAAAGAATCTCCCTAACTACTCCTAATGTGACTAAATTGTTTTTTCTTTTCTTTTTTTTCTACAAATTTTAAAGTACGTAGTGAATAAAAATAAATATTAAAAATTAAAAAAAAATGCAGTTCCATATAGTTAGAGATTACAAAAAGGAGTCAAAATTGATGCAGCAAAATCTGAGCAATCTTTACTTTTAGCCCCTAGTATGAGTCATGCTCCTCCTACATTCCCCATAGTGCAAGGGCCAGCAACCTTTACTATCAAAAGCAGTGCCTGAAATGGGCCAGTACTGAGTCCTGAGACCTCAATATTTTTTCAAAGGAGTTTAAGATAAAATTCGTATAATATTTGCCTAAAAACAAACTACTTTGACACCCCCCTAACAAGTTCAGTTTCTGTGTAAACAGTTAGCTAGCTTAAGGCTAAGATTTATGATAAGAAAAGATAAAAAATGACAAAAGAATTAGGGATATGGTTGTGCTGAATTCACCTGCACCTTTTTTAAGTCGAATTCAGCCACTGAACAGAAAAAAAACATTTTTAGACAAAATAAAAAAGAAAACGTACTGAACCTTTATTATGCAAAATATCGAGATCCAGTAAGCCAGCAGGCGTGTGTGATAAAGCGAACCAATCAGTCACAGGCTAATAAGTTATAGTTAATAAATAATAAGTTAATAAACAGGCTCTCTTTTCCTTTGAGACTTTTTTGGATTTGGAATCCATAGCGAGCCTAGCTAGGGAGATTGAAGACTAGGTCGTAGCCACAACTATTGTGGTTCAGCAAAATATAGAGGAAAAGGCACCAGGTAACGTATGACGCACATTTTATGTGACAAAATGTTGAAAGATGTTTTTAATTTGTTGTGTAATGGCTATGCATTTTTAGTATTGGAGAAAGTAAGAATCACTTTAGGCCTACAGCAGTGGAAAATGACCATATTAAAAAATGTATAACATTTGTTGTATTCAAAACCACAGGGCGCCAGACGAGGGGCTAAAGATTGATTCAGGTTGTCTACCCCTGTCATAGAGCAACTTCACAGCATCAATCTAGGTTCATTTCTTCAGTCGTAAGAAAGCTCCTCCAGAGCCACACAAGATATTATACAAATACGTAGTGAATATGTAGTTGTATATTTGTACAAATATATAACTTCAGTAGTGTAGGTTGAATGTGAGTGTGAACTGTTGGTAGACTTTTACAGGCACAACAATATAATAGTATCTAGTATGGCAGGTGCAGCAGCAGCAATAATGAATACAATATGACACATTCTAGGTATTAGTTCACGGCAAACATGTCAACTGTTTGAATAGAGCTTTATTATCAAAGCTCATATCAGGCATGAATGGTTGCACGAGTGAACCATGAACCTGCTAAAGTAAACAGTCTGGCACAGATTCCTCTTTTTCCTCTGTACCTTACTAAATGTTCACCTACCCATCTGTCCTCACTAATGTTTGCACTGCTAAGCTAATGCAACAACGTATCATCTTTTAACTCAGCTAATTGTGACTTTTTTTTTTTATGTCTTGTTAGGGTGAGGACAGTATGTGGACACTGGCTCTTCAGCTGGGTTTCATTGGTTTATACCTGCAGGTCAGTTGTACTTTGTTTTTCCCAAACTGAACAGTGAGTTGACAGTAACCAAGAATTAAGTTTAAAAATGTAAATCTAATCTGAGAATCAGATTCCTCCCTGACAAGAATTCAATAGATTGTTTGATGTTTATGGGTAATGTGCTTTAATGGGTAATCTGTATGGTAAATATGAAGCTACCACCATCAGCCAGTTAGCTTAGCTTAGCACAAAGACGCAAACAGCTGCCAACCAACACATCTCATGCTCTCAAATTAGAATCCTATAACTTGTAAATTTGTTTTTTTAGTGCTAAGCTACGCTAACTGGCTGCTGACATATTTATATTTATACAGACATGAGAGTGGTATCAATCATCTCAGCAAGAATCTGCAAGTGTAAAATCCTAAAATGTTGAACAATTCCTTTAACCATAAAGTTCAATTAATTTCCAATTTATAGACATAATGTAACCTTCCTACCTGCAGGTATCCACATGCTACCAATCATGCACTTTGCATGGCTTTGTAGCTGCTTGTTCCTTCCAGCACCACTACTGGGTTCCTGCTTTGCCTCTGAACATCACCCACCTCTACCTAGACGCAAACTACATCTCTGAGATCAATAGCACCTCGCTGAGAGGCTACGACCAGCTGCTACAATTAGATCTTGGAATGCAGTATGTGCCGCTCATCATAAAGAACAATGCTTTCTTAAGGCAGAGGAAATTGACACGGCTGGTCATAGGAGCAAATAAAGGCCTTCAGCTGGAGCCAAGGGCATTTGCAGGACTGTTCAATTTAGAACAACTTTTTTTGGATAATTGCGATTTGACAGACTCCATACTGGCAGAAAACTATCTGCAGCCACTTTTGTCCTTAGAAACCCTTGACCTCTTTGGTAACAAAATAGTGAGGCTGCAACCTGGACTGTTCTTTTCAAAACTCACAAAGTTCACACAACTAAATCTCAAATTGAATAAGATTCAAAGATTATGTGAAGAGGATCTTGTTGGCTTCCGGGGGAAACACTTCACACTCCTGAACTTGGTGTCCAATCACTTTTACAGAAGTGAAGATTTTGACTGGGGATGTGGTAACCCTTTCAGAGGGATGGCCTTTAATGTCCTTGACTTATCCAGCAACGGGTTCAGTTTGAACACTTCACGTCAACTTTTCAAAGCAATAGAGGGAACTCCAATTACTCATCTGAAATTCTCTGGACACATTGGCAAAGGCTTTTCACATGACAACTTGCCTGATCCAGATGAAAGCACATTCGAAGGCCTCATCAACAGTGGAGTTAACATATTCGATCTGTCTAATAATAGGATATTTGCTTTGCAGAGGGCAGTTTTTAGTCCTTTAAAGGATGCAATAATTATTGACATTTCCAAAAACAGAATCAATCAGATTAACAGAAATGCCTTCAATGGTCTTCAAGGACATTTACGAATGCTCAACCTGTCATTCAACTTACTAGGAGAAATATATTCTCACACATTCACCAATCTGACAGACCTTAGGGTGTTGGATTTGTCTTACAACCACATTGGTGCTTTGGGATACAAAGCATTCAGTGATCTTCCCAAATTACGAGCATTATATCTGACAGGAAACTCACTGCGAGACCTGGGTTTTCCTGCGTTATTACCAAACTTAGAATATCTTCTTTTGGACGACAATAAGTTGAAATCAGTAAGCAGTATCATCGACTTGGGCATAAACAGCATCCATGTGAATGTTGCAGACAACAGATTAACAAACTTGGAGGACGTTTATGTCATTTTATCTCGTTTTAATCATCTCAAGAATCTCTTCTATGGTGGCAATTTCATCAAGTGGTGCACACTAAATAACCAAGTATCAGTGCCTCATAATAATAGTTTGGATGTGCTGGATCTTCATGACAGTTCCCTGCAGTTAATTTGGACACAGGGCAGTTGCCTCGACCTGTTTGATCATCTTGGGAATCTGCGCGGTCTAAATTTAAGCTTTAACTCACTCGCGACTCTTCCACAAGGAATTTTCAGCGGTCTCAGCTCGATCATAGAGATCGACCTCTCGTCTAACGCCTTAACCTATCTGCAGCCGGATGTCTTTCCGGTCAGCCTGCAAAGACTCGATCTCTCAAGCAACTTTCTAGCCTCCCCAGACCCTGTGACTTTTCAATCTCTCAGCTTCTTCAGCCTTGCCGTAAACCGGTTCCACTGCGATTGCCATCTGGAGAGCTTCTTGAAGTGGCTGAATGTGACGAATGTAACCTTCCTAAGCCCAGTTGAGGAGTACAGATGTGAGTTTCCAGCTGCTCTCCATAACCTTCCCCTACTGGATTACTCTATGATTATCGAACCGTGTGAGGAAGATGACGAAAAGGCCGTCCAAGATCTTAAATTTGCTCTCTTTATCTTCTCTGCTCTCCTTATCATCACGGTCATCCTCAGCGGGATTGTTTACGCCCGTCTTCGAGGGCGCATATTCATCATCTACAAAAAGATCGTTGGTAGGGTAATCCAGGGCCCAAAACCGATACCACCTTTGGACAAGGTGCAGTACGATGCCTTCCTCTGCTTTAGCGACAGTGACTACAAGTGGGTGGAAGCTGCTTTGCTGAAGAAGCTGGATAACCAGTTTTCAGAGGAGAATATCTTCCGCTGTTGTTTTGAGGCCAGAGACTTCTTGCCAGGGGAGGATCATCTTTCCAACATCAGAGATGCCATCTGGGGCAGCAAGAAGACTGTGTGCATCGTCTCCAAGGATTTCCTTAAAGGTATAGTTTTTCTCACTTTGATGTGTGAACAATCGGAAGGTTAGACTATGCTTAATTTTTAGCCCTAAAGTATTTTTTTCTAAAAAGTATTTTATAGCTATAATGTTATTGATATGGCATGTTAATTAGTGTGCTGTAGAGGTACTGGTAGGAAGATTTCTTTACCCCTGGACAGAGTCAGGCTAGCTGTTTCCCTGGTCTTTTAGAGACATGGTGGTAACATGCAGAAGTTGTGTGCTGTCGTACTGTCGTACTGTGGGGGTGCAGTCTTGCATTTAGGAAACCCTGAACCACTGGTGAGACTAACCTACAGTTTGCAAACTGTAGATTCACATTTAACAAACACATATTCTCAGCAAGAAAGTAAATAAGCACATTTCCAAAACTATTCCTCTAAATGGTTTCTAAAAATTAGCATGCTAGCTAGCACCTTGGCTATAGTAAGGCACTCTATTTCTTATCTTAATTTTTACCTTTTTCGGATCCACAAAATTAATTGAAAAATTAAAGTTGTGATAGAAATTAACTGGGTCATGCCTCTGTCTAGATGGTTGGTGCTTGGAGGCGTTCACTTTGGCCCAGGGCCGGATGCTGGAGGAGCTGACAAATGTCCTGATTATGTTGGTGGTAGGGAAGGTGTGTATGAGCCTGCTGAATTGCTTTCTATGAGGGTTACTAAAAGTCATATTTAGGAAATTTAGGATTTCTATGTGTGGGTAGATGTTTACTTAAAACCTGCAATAATCAATCTATTGGCAACTTCAGTCGAAACTGGAAACTAGGAGTTAGCAAGCAGATACAGTGAGTGCATTTAAGTCCAATATCCACTGTCCTTTTAGTTCTGGTTCTGGTCTCTACCAACTCCTGAGGGAAATATTAATTTCTTTAGCTGCTAAATACTGCACTTGTTTTTTGGTGCTGGGCAGGTAGCACACAGTGGGTCTCTAGAGCCTTTTCGCTATAAAGCTCTCTGCTGCCAAAAACAATACTGATGATAACGGTGAGAGTGAAACAAAACAGCAAGGTTGCAACCTGTTAAACCGAAACAGTGAGTTGAAAGTCATGCAGGGTTGAAGTTATAATCTGGTGGTCTCAGCTGTCCACTAATTGCAACAATTGTATCAAGTAGATTTTAACAACCCAAAACTACCCCGCTATACTGCTACAAAGTTTCAATAGCCTTAAATATGCCAGTTGAGAAGAAGTGTGAACCTATCGTGACGTCACCCATTGGTTTGTGGAGTACCGTTTTAAAGCATTGAATTCAGCATTTTGGCCGCTGCCATGGCAGTTAGACGGAGCCAGCGCAAGCCAGTGGACGTGACATACTGCGAGTTGATCTGCGCTTATTGGCTGCGCAGTTTCAACTCGTCCGTAGCAGGAAACAATGGTGATCTCGTATAACAACTACACAGTTTACTAAAATGTTTCTAAAACGATATTAAGTGATAAATAGGTAACGCAGTAACAGAATCTAGATTCATATTTGATCAGCACTGCTTAGTTTGACAGTTTGATCTGAGTTTGGTGCTCTGCGCTGGATGGACTCACTGAGAGTGACCTGTCAATCATCCCTGCCCAAAAGCATATGGCTTTATTGTCTATT